ACGAAAGAATGAATGAAAAGAGGCAAGAATGAAATAATCATAAGTAACCAAAAAAGGAAAAGAAAAAAGAAAAGAAAGAAAAGAAAGAAAAAAGAAAGAAAAAAGAAAGAAAGAAAAAGCAACCGAAAAGAAAAGACAAGTGGATAACGAAAGAAAAAGAAAGAAATTGAAGACAAAAGAAAGAGAAATGAGAATGAATGAGGTGAGGAGTAAAAGAAAGAAAGAAAGAAAGAAAGAAAGAAAGAAAGAAAGAAAGAAAGAAAGAAAAAAGAGTCACTAAAGGTGAAAAAGAAAAAAGAGAGATAACGAAAGAATGAATGAAAGAGGCAAGAATGAAATAATCATAAGTAACCAAAAAAGGGGACAAAGAAAGAAAGAAAGAAAGAAAGAAAGAAAGAAAGAAAGAAAAAGCAACCGAAAAGAAAAGACAAGTGGATAACGAAAGAAAAAGAAAGAAATTGAAGACAAAAGAAAGAGAAATGAGAATGAATGAGGTGAGGAGTAAAAGAAAGAAAGAAAGAAAGAAAGAAAGAAAGAAAGAAAGAAAGAAAGAGAAAAGAGCCACCAAAAGTGAAAAAGAAAAAAGAGAGATAACGAAAGAATGAATGAAAGATATGCAAGAATGAAATAATCAAAAGTAACCAAAAAAGGGGACAAAGGAAGATAGAGAGACCGAAAGAAAGAAAGAAAGAAAAAAGTAACATCAAAAAGTGAAAAAGAATGAAGAGAGATAAAGAAAGAAAAAAACCGAAACATGCTAGAAAGAAATAATAAAAAAAAGTAACCAAAAATGAAAAAAGAGCAATTCCCAAATGTACGAAGAAATAAATTCTAACTAAATGTTTTATTTAAAAAAAATATGAAAATGGAAGCAATTGAATATTTATGGGTTTTATTATCTTCATAATGCTTTGTTCAAATAAATAAGCTCCCTCCCTAGCCATCGCCACAAAATTAAAAGAATAGTGAAGCTTATACCTAGCAGATGTGTCGGGCCGACAAGCCGGAAATCAATGAACCAAGAAACGAATTCTTGGAAAATATAAATCGCAAACACAATTCAAAATTTTCTTTTATTATATATGTCGATATTCTCTCCGGATTTTTGTTAATTTTGAGTTTTAAAATAAAATCACTTTTTGATTCTCCTATACATCTATATTGACATTTCTCGTGCGTATGCGTAATAATATACGATCAATTGTTTTCCTCTCTCTACACAAAAAGAATGTGTGTTCAAACAATGCAAACCAGGCTTCTTTTTTTAGTTTGTTCACTTGAGAGTAAGATTCGGTTAAAATAGAACTGACAAGTGTTTCCTTTGATCTCAAGCGGTTTGTGTCAAATTTACTTATATTTAAAAGATATTTTTGAAATTCCATTTTCTTCTGTCTTACACTTTCTTTCTGTTTATTCCGGTGAGTTCATGTCAAAGTAAGCCGTTCGAATTTATTCGTTCCATTCATTTCTCGTTTATCTACCGGACTCATTCAATCTATATCTATCTGCCTTTAGCTCTTTACCTATCTCAGTCTATATGCATCTATATCTATCCATCAATTTGTAATACTGTACCAACCTCAGTTTATTAATATCTAACCATCTAGCTAACACTGTCCACAGCCTGCCAATACCAGTCATTCTATAGAACTTCCCCTGTAAGTCTGCTCATCTCTCTCTCTCTTCATATATATATATATATATATATATATATATATATATATATATATATTTAATTTTTTACATACGGACAAAAAACAACTTCCTCACTACAAAGATGCATTCTTGTTTCCATGCGTTGAATCTTAAATAGTAACCAATTTTTGGCTCTCACCAGTCGAGATGCAGTCGCATCGAAACAAGAATACAGCTTTGTAGTGAGCAAGTTGTTTTTGTCCGTAGGTAAAAATTATAATAAATAATTATTGCTGTACTCTTGGTATTGAGCCCTCTTTTGAATTAATACTGTAAGCGTTAGAATTTATATTATAATCATTCTCATTACATTCGGATATATATATATATATATATATATATATATATATATATATATATATATATATATATATATATATAGATGGAATAAAGGTTGGTATAGATGGAAAAACAAAACAAAAATACTATTATTAAAAAAGTTCTCAATACAGAGTAGATCGAATAATATTTATTTAAAATTATAACATAAGTATGTTATAGCATTACTAAAAATATAGCCATTTCGTTTCAGCTCTTCTTGTGTCTTGTCAAGTGATAGAGTTGCAAGTAAAATAAAGTAAATAAAAATAAACTCTTTATTTTACTTACAACACCATTACGTAACATGACACCAGAAGTGTTGAAACAAAATGGTTATTTTTGTAGTGATGCTATAAAATAATTATGTCATATTTTTTTTAATAATATCATATTAATATATATATATATATATATATATATATATATTCAAATTCCGGCGAAAAGTTCTGTCTATGTAACATTTTATTATTTTATTATATCTTACCAATTTCCGGAGTTTTGGTGTATCGAATATAAAAGAGTGTATTTGAATAAATAGGTGTTCATAAATAAATTGTCCTAAGTTCACTATTTTTGCGGTGGGGATTCAAATACTTTTGGCTATCACAGGCATACGCGCGCGAATGCACGTCCGCAGTGACGGGGGCATGGCTGGACGTGTACAAATGCACACACGAACACACAAAATACAGAGAAAAAACTTACACCAGTGTTAAATATGCATAAAAGGAAAAAAGTGAGAAGATAGAAGCAGAGAATTGGTGATACACATTGAATAGTGGACGGACAGGCCAGCCTACGAAAATCTGGAGTCGGGATGCTGAAGGTAACATCAATCAGCTAAGTGATAAACTTTTCATATATATATATATAGAAAAAGTTTCAAATTAAAAAATAATAATGTTTTATTTTATGAAAGTATTTATTTTTTTATATATATATTTGATATTTCAAATTGTCCTCAATCTTTCATCAGAAATAACTGTTTGTTACAAATAAATTAAAATCAGTTTGTTAGCAAGTAGCGTCCTTCGCGAGACGAAGACGTCACGTGATATGGAACGTCACTGTTCGGATATTCCTAACTTAAATCTAACTGTCATAAATATTTTAAATGTTGTTTTAAAAAAAAATTTTTAACTATATCTAAAAAAAAAAAAATATCACGTGACGTCCGCGTCTCGCCAAGGACGCTACTTGCTAACAAACAGTGATTTTAATTTATACTTAAACAGAGCATTTACTTAAATACTTGTATCTATAAAAAACAACGTTAAACATAAAAAATGTCTTTAATAAATATATATATATATATATATATATATATATATATATATATATATATACAGAGAGAGACAGAGAATTAATACAAGAAAAACGTTTGTCAATGCTAATTGATGTTACCATAAGACAAAAGAAAAAAGAAAACTTTACAATACCGAAGAACGCCATGCACGACAATACACTTCCACACACACATACACACACACATTTTGTGGTGGTGTGTTCCTCACACCAAAACAAAGACAAAAATCCATATAAACATACCTAGATCGTCACCGACAGCCTGTAGAATGCATTCTTCATGGCCAGGCGTACGAACGGATCTCGGTATTCCTCGATCCATAGTTTGTGGTGCCACGGATCCCGTCTTAGCAATGCGACGATAAACAGCAGTAAAGGTTGGATGACTCGGCTGCCTTCGGTCTGGAAACGAAATATACTAGAACCATGCAGCTCCGCGTCCATTACCATTCGCGCAGCAGTATGTAAATATCATATCTGCCGGCTCACGATATGAATATCCTGCCATTGTTAAACGGTACAATTCTCAGGTAACTTGCAACTACACACGTTAAACGCTGGAGACAGACTAGCCACAAATGTATACGAATAACTAATGTAACCTAGTCTATACAACAACACAGCGCCATCTACCATAAATTTTCTTTCAACTTAACTTAAAAATGAAGGATTTGCGGACATATATTTATTTGAACCTTTTCCTTGTTTTGGTGGGAGAAACAAGTTGCCAAAATTTGTAAAAGTATTTTTGTTATAGCCTATATATATATATATATATATATATATATATATATATATATATATATATGTAAGCAAATATATGGATATAGATCCGACAGTATGAAGAAAATATATACGGAAAAACAAACAAAATTCCTTATATACAATTATGCTGTTTTAATGTTAATATGACAACGTCGGACGTTTCGGTCTAATAAACCATCTTCAGGACATATTCATAAATTATAACATTATCAATACAACATGACAAAGACGATGTACATAAGAACAAGACTTATCCAAACAGATAACTGAAAGTTTTATAAGATCAGCGCTCCGAACGGAGCGCTGATCTTATAAAACTATTTTTCTTCATATATATATGTGTGTGTGTGTGTGTGTGTGTGTGTGTGTGTGTGTGTGTGTGTGTGTGTGTGTGTGTGTGTACTACTTTAGCTGATAAACATGTCTGAATAGACATTAATATTTATGTGCTAACAGTGAAATCTGCGTCAACCAGACTAGATCGTCAAAAGTTTTATTAAATCCTCTCTTTCCGGTTTTTGTTTTTACGATATCTTCGAAATGTTCGTGGAGAGCTGAGCATGACTTCACGCAGAAAGTTGCCAAGTTCTCGGAGAGGCAGAATCAAGTTGCTGCCTTAAAAGTTAACGAAACGAAACAGAACATATATAATGGAATAAATCTATTTAAATATATCTTTTTGGTATTAGCTTAAAAAACGCTACGACCTTTTCTTTTGTATTTGTTTTTCTAATTTTTTTTCTTTTCTTATTTTGTCTTAATCGATATTATAGATCTCTAGTTTAATAATTACTGACTTAAAATATTTAACTTCTTTTTTGAAGTTATTTATATTTTATGTTTTATTTTTACAGAGTCTGGAAGGTTCTTACATGGTGCAATTGAACAGGTCACCGTACTACGCGGGCGAGGCGATGGCATCGCTGATAAGCCGATTCGGTTACAGCTGGGTGAATGTCATTTGCCAGGATCGCTACGAAGATGACGGCTTCTTGTCACGATTCTACGAGGAGTCGACTGCCTATGGCATCAAGACGGAACAAAACGGTACTATCTCGCGCAGCGACAACTGGACCGAGCTACAGCACAAGCTGAAGCGATTTCAAAGAAGTGCCTTCAAGATTATTGTTATACACTGTGAAGTGTTCGTCATGCGCAGAGTGGTTCAAATCGGTAGAATGCTGAACCTGTTCTCCAACAACTACGTCTGGTTCCTCAGCGACTACGCGACTGAGCATAATCGCAAGGCCGACTACAGCCTACCTGTCGGACTGGTTGGCCTCGAGCGGACAGAGCCCGATGGATACGCTAACCGGGTTAGCAGCACTCTGCGGACACTCTTACAGTATCTACAGTCAGATCCCGTCCTCGACTGGGGGTCAAGTGACATCTCGTTGACCGACTATGCAAATTATTCACTAATTTATAACTATACCTCTGAAACTTGGATCAGGTGAGATATATTTTGTATTGTCTTTCAGATCATTTTCTTCATTCGTGATGTAAGTTTTGATGTGGGGAGGTTACCTCGACAATAGGTGTTAGAAAGCACTACTCGTCCTCGAACGTACAGCATCACAAGAAAAAAACTATAACAAATAATATAAACCACATTACTTAAGTACATTTAGCTTGTGGCAAATTGAAACGTTGCAAGGACAACGTTACTCTATCGCTATTTTCTGACGCACTATATTCCTTAGTTCTACCAATTAACACTCGCCATGCCATGTAGACTGGATTGAATCATCCTCATTTTCTCTGAATTCCATTAGTAAGGAGGAAGTTCCATTCGGACTTCTTCTGCTCACGGGAATTTTTTTTTTTTTTTTTTTGGAACAGATTCCTGAGCGGATGTTTCCCCAAACACAATACCACTTCTCGGTTAGAGTCAATCTTTCTCTGCTCCATATCCACATAATCTAGAATTTTATGTCCATAATACAACTCTATTTAGTAACGCCCCACCTTGAGAGGCTCTTGGGCCTTGCACAGGGTGAACAATAGAGTAAAAATCTCTCAATTACTATATAATAATAACCAATCTGATTTAAAATAGAACTGGCGAAAAAAGTTTTCTGTACCTAAAGACAGTGTTTGGATTTAGATTTTATATTAAAGTAAAAAAAAAATATTTATATCTACACTGTCTAATTTTAAGAGAACATAATTAAATAATTTCATCCTAATAGTTATTTTTAGAGTACTGAACCGCTATGTAATATCAGTTCTTCTATATGGCAGTGCGACGGGAAGCAACAAAAATATGGTTCTACAGAAGGATACTGAGAATGCCATGGACCGAATATAAAATCAGCATACAGAGGCGCTGAGTAGAGAACCTCGGCGTGTTGTAATGGTTAGTAAGCTTGTCTTGCTAGATCAGTTACTACTGAAAAGTGAGTTCGATTCTCACTGGATGCTCCATACTTTCGGCCTTGTGCCACATCTAAGCAACGCTTGGAAAATCTCTACAGAGGCGCTGAGTTTTACTCATTTTTCAGAATTGACAAAACTAAATATTTGAGGCGATTGGGAAAATAAATTAATGACTAAACGCCAATTTTTGAAAAACTATATTGAATCCATTGCTAGGTAAGCTGCCATGAAAGTTGGCACACTGTATCGCCTGAGCCAACTTTTCTCTCTAGAATCTATCTAATATATGTATAAGTCTACCATTCAACCATGCTTAGAATATTGCTGCCGCATATGACCCGGTGCCTCTGCTATTTACCATGAGCTCCTTGATAAAATCCAAAGAAGAATCGGCTTCAGTCGCTTTCCCACCACCGTAAGTTTAGCTTCATGTGTCTTTCTATCAATACTTTCATGGTAATTGTTCAGATGAGTTCTTCACCTAGATTTTCATAGAGACAATGAGGTATTATGGTGGATGTAGTAAGAAAGGTAAGTAAGAATGCGTTGGTGTGGTGTAAGGAATATTTTTGTATGTTTGGGTCAGTGTTTGTGGCTAGCTAAGTTTAACATTAAGACAGAAGAAGACGGTCCTTTTCCTCATTCCGCATTTGGCCTTGTGCCACATTTCTGTACATAACAAAATAAATATCACTCTTCACCAAGCCTTTTTTTTAATTCAAGCGCAGTACTAGACTGATGTCAGGATCTCCTCAATTTATAATTTAGCTGACTAGATGTACCCGTAAATTCTATGCTAACAGTTACTTTTCTCGTACTTCTCGCTTGTGGAACACCCTTCCGGCTCCTTGCTTTCTATCCAACCTTAATCTTCAAAAATGTATTAGGTTGGTGCAAAAATAATGACGTAATAATGTCGTTTTTTGACGTATTTTTTACGTCAAAAAACGATATTATTACGTCATTATTTTTGCACTAACCTAATAAATGGAATGTCATTTGCTATCTACTGACCACCTGATTACTCTTTTTATGTTTGTGTTTTTATTTTTTTCAGACTCATTAACCCTTTGTGTCTTAGTGGCTTTACTGCCTTGCATGGGATGAACTCGATTAAAAAAAGAATAGTATTTCAATGACTAAGCATTTTTGGAGATGTATTAATTCTTTCAAAAAGTAACTCTTTATGTAATCAAAAAAATATATCAAATGCTGCGATCAGGATCACATCTTTAGTGACATCACTAATTCTGGCACCACCGCTAAAATAATAATAATCATATTTTTGCGACGACTGATTTTAAAATCAGCATACAGAGACAACATTTTCTTTTAATCGCTGCCCACATACCTTACCACTACCTCTTTCGCTGAATTTTACTCATTTTTCAGCATTGACAAAACTAAATATTTGTGGCATCTGAGAAAATAAACCAATGATTAAACGCCAATTTTCGACTTAAAATTTGCTTAACACTCCACAAAAATGTTTTTTCTAACTGATTTTTCCGTATTTTTTTCTGTTTTAAACGACAGCATTTGAAGATTCAGTCCAGTTCCGAAATAGAAATGATGAACGGTTAATTCGAAACACAGATATTTAAAGTTAATCATTTTAAATGGAGAAGAGTCTTACTATATTTTAATACTAATTTTAACCCAATACAAAAACCAAGAGACGTTAAAGGTAGTAGTGTTATTTAAACGTAAGAAAAGACAACAAGTAAAGTCCATGGGGTTATACAGTATTGATAATTATTAACCCTGGACTTGAAGCGGTCAAGATTGTTTTTTCTTGTAACATAATAGCTGTCCACTGGTATTCGAGAATACCCCTCCACTAGGACGGCTAACTAATCCCTATAGCAGACGCTTGCTCAGGCGCATTTTGTGTTTGTTCAACACCTGTGGTTTATACTGCAACTGAAATGTTCTTGACCCAACCCACATACCAAATGAACAGAATTATTTGGATCCATTCTTAGTTTTGTCGATAACTAACAGGAAATAACAGGCGGGGGAACAATTACTAACTGTATCTAGAGAAAATTATAAAGGGATGCTGAAAAGTTCTCAGTTCTGACCCACTTACCAAAATTAGAATTTCAATCACTAAAATATTTTGGGAGATGGTCAGAACAAGCTGTGTTTATTCTGAAAAGTTCTCAATGCGATCCGCTTATCAAAATTGGAAATTCGATGAGAATATATTTTTGGAGATGAGATTTTTCGTGCCAAGACATAGCCATTCTGAAAAGTTATCGGTTCGACCCACTTACCAAAATTAGAATTTCAATTACCAAGTATTTTGGCGATGGGTGGAGCCAGGCCAGTAGACGGAATAAACACTGTTAAAAACTGTTCGTGTGCTCAAATACTGATGTCCACAAAAAAACAACGTTTAAAGTAACAAAAGTGTAAATACACACACACACTTTCCAATAAGTACCGTGCATAGAAAATATGTATAGAAATCACACACACACACACACACACACACACACACACACACATATATATATATATATATATATATATATATATATATATATATATATATACGGTATGCTCAACGATTGTGTTTAGCATGAAGAAGAATGTTTGCTCTGGGTGTTGATTTCAATGTCTACTTATATATATATATATATATATACACACACACACACACACACACACACACACACACACATATATATATATATATATATATATATATATATATATATATAATTATTTATTTAAAAATTATAACATAAATATGTTATAAAATCACTACAAAAATAGCCATTTTGCTTCAACACCTCTGGTGTCATATCAAGTGATGATGTTGAATGTAGAATAGAGGTTTTTAAAAGGTTCAAATTAATTAACCACCCCTCGCAAAGGGAAACACTGTTACATAAGCTGGAATGACCAATCAAAATACAAGTATACAAGAATTCAAAAAACTTGACAACGAAGTAAGGTTATAATAGCTATTAAGTGCTTTAAATTTGGGGCTATTCAACATCATCACTTGATAAGACACCAAAGGTGTTGAAATAAAATGACTATTTTTGTAGTGCTTTTATAACATATTTATGTTTTTTAAAATAAATAATTATATTTGCTTTACTCTGTATTGAGCACTCTTTTAAGAATAGTAATTGTTGGTTATTGGAATTTATTCTGTATACAACCTTCTTATACTTGTATATTATATATATATATATATATATATATATATATATATATATATATATATATAGTGAGAGAGAGAGAGAGAGAAAAGAAATGTAATACTTTTTAGAAAATTAAATTAAGTTTAAAATAGATATTTGCTTTTAAATTTGTGTGATGTGTTTTTATTCATTAGGCTGTGGACACACACAAAATGCGCGCACACACACACACACACACACACATATATATATATATATATATATATATATATATATATATATATATATATATAGATATTGTTTTTATCGATAAATTCATATATCTTCGTTGATAGTTACCCACCGACGTCTGTGGATTATTGTTTTCTTAGCTAATTAGATATCTCGCCTGATATCAGCTGTGAAATCTATCGATCAGCCTTTTAATCGATGGTCTGATGAACAAATTCTCTACAAATATTCCAGCGATAGAAAATAACATTGATATGGAAATTCGGAGCATCAGCAGCCGAACTCACAAATCAACCGGAAACGATATCACACTACACTTCTCTGTTTACTTAAACCTTTATCCCCCTCTGAAGAACAGTGGAACATCGAAGTTTAACCCTCAGATCAACCTGCCATCTCTCATTAACTGTAATAATTCTCATATTCATTGATTGCAGAGTTCTGTTTTCTCCTTCCTTTATTTATACAGCTACCTTCGTGATATTGTCACGAGATCTGTGGTTGAGAATTTGGCTCATAAAGGTGTTTGACGATCACTGACGCTGTTATATAATAGGCCCGGCCTTCTTGAAACCGATTTACAAATGTCTCTGCTTCTTGCTAAAAATCAAATTAACCGTCCTTCCACCAGCAGAAACGCATTTCTTTTATCATAGTATTAAATAGCGCCACACGTATAGTC